TTCTCTGTGATTCTTTTACCGATCAGTGTGGTTCCACCACCAAAATAACCAGGAGAGTTTCTATTTGGTACCTTATATATTATGTTTAAGTATAATATTTGTTTCGGTGAAAAATTCTGAAAACCTTAAATATTCAACATTTATTTTGTTTACATTTGTGCAGATTGTTTACATTTGTGCAGAGAAGGCAATAAATAATAATAAAATTCCTACAGCTGTTAGTTGAAACCATTTAAATGAAGCTACAGAGAATTCTTCATGAAACAGTTGCTTCATATTGATCAATAAGCTATTTTTTGTCATGGAGCCTAAATTAATTACATTGAGAAAAATGCATTTTGTTTTGGTTTCTATAAAAAATGTATTTCAACGTTTGACCTGATTTGTGTATACAGTAATTCTGTTTTTAGTATTGAATATTCTGACTTACAAAATCATATATGTTTCAGTGAATAGCTGTATAATATTGACAAATAAAGGTGTATTGTGAAAACCAAAGCATTTGTAAAACAGGTCTAAATATAAATCAAATGCAATTATTCCTTACACGACCTAAGAAGTGTGACAGTGCATAATCGTCAATTGTTTTAAAAGTGTTAAATATTTTAATTACTAAACATGCATTTGCAGATGTGGAATGTTTATTGATATTCTCTACCCAGTTACTATATCATATCAATACTATTATGCCTGCTTCGGAAAGTCCTAGAGGAATATGATTTGCAATTTCGACTAGGCTATTATATCTTGATCAAACAAAACCACCTACATGGCTTGCACCACTATTAGCTGAACCAATCTTTCATATACATATTCCATTTGCAGATGTGGCATGTTCATTAATATTCTCTACTCAGTTACTATGACATGTCAATACTATGCCTGCTTCGGAAAGTCCTAGAGGAAGATGATTTGCAATTTCGACTAGGCTATATCTTGAGCAAACAAAACCCCCTACATGACTTACACCACTTTTAGCTGAACCAATCTTTCATATAATATTTTCCAAAGGTACTCATACGTGTTAACGACCAATTTTCCACTTTTGAGAGATTTTTTAGTCGCTGGTAGCTGAGGAATAACTTTCATATTGTTCCAAAAGGCTTGAGACGTTACTGTATTTCTTTTTATAATGTAGAAGTACACCGATTGCAGGAAACGATGATGTCTGACATTTCAATGTATCTAGAAAAGACAATTAGTTTTTCATTCGGCCTAATGTAATGGACAACTCTTTCTTTCTTAAGGAATATCTAAAGATGTTTATTTTCATACCCATTGATTATGTAACCTCAACAGGTGACTCAAGCAGTTTTAAAAAAATGATTGTTCTGTGGAACTTTTGATTGTTTCAAACAGTTTTGCTAATCAAAAATCCTCAAAGTAATTAATATATAAAAAATTATACAGTCACTAAAAATCATGAAATAATTTATTTTTGTAAAAAAATACAACCGACTTCAAACGCTCTAAAAAGAATGAAATAATTTCAATAAAGTAAGCTTTTGTATTAGGCAAGCTCACGTATTTCAAGTCGGCGCGGCTCAAACTGCAAATATGATTGAAATAAAATATTGTGTGTGTATTTTGAAAATCAATAAATTGTAGCTGGATAACATAAATATATAAAAAACATACTGAACTGTTTTGCTTATATATTAAAGGAAATATTTTCTTGTATTTTATGTTTACTTCAGAATAAATGCATTATGAAAATAACACACACAAATGTTCTATATGAATAGGAAAATAATTTAGTTTGATATTATGACAGGGAAAAGAAGCTAGTTTAGTATTAAAACGTTACTTTTCCAAGCTAGACACATTTAAATGCGTTATAATCTTTTTAAAGATACTCGTTAATACCACTATAATGCCGATCTCTTATTACGGTAATAAAATAACACATAACGCATAACTATGAAAAAGACATGCAGATTAACACCTTTAGTTATAGATAGTCACCTGCAATATGGACACCCTCTTTCAATTTTGTATCAAAAATCATCATAGAGCCGCGCCGACTTAAAATACGTGAGCTTGCCTAATACAAAAGTTTACTTTATTGAAATTATTTCATTCTTTTTAGAGCGTTTGAAGTCGGTTGTATTTTTTTACAAAAATAAATTATCGTCACATACTTTTGGCTATTCGGCCTCCTTGAACAATCATTTTGTGACGAAAACTGTCTATGATAGCTAGACGAAATAGTCTACAGAGATCCAATGATTTACAAAAATAAAGCTTACAATCCACATTACGTTAAATCAGAGAAACCACCGATACCTGGAGAGAGT